AAATGTCAGAGAAAATAACCTTTTATTTTTTAATCAGTATAACAGTTAAATTGAAAAATTATCATGAATGTCAGAATGCCTATTTAATATATTCCCCCTTAATGAGAGCAGCACTCCAGCTGTGTGAACTCCACAATATGCATAAAACCTGGTTATCTTATTCTCCAGCATGATATTCAGCGTCAATGGAATGTGTAGTAAAGTGCATCTGACCATCTAAGGAGTACACTTGTAACAAATTTTGTTTTAGTCACCTTGATAGTGCAGAATATTATAATATACAAATATCTTTATTGAAAATAAAAGTACTTTATGAAATGTTACAATTTTCAGTTTATTTCCTATAATTACAAAAAAAACTAAATTGGATATTACTGTATATGTATAAAGGAAATGTGTTCTAGCTGGTTGCTATTTCTACATTTTTACAATTTTTACCATTTTAATCACTTTTTTCTTGCCATCACTGTTTAATTTAAATGGTCCTGCTGCCTGCAGTGTGACATAAATAAAAAGGCATAATACATGGAGTCTCTCAGTCAATATGAGATCATAAAAACTATAAGTTTAGCAAAGTTATTAAAAATAACACTAAAACTATTAAAACATCTTTGTTAATTGAAATAAACCTATAAATAAATAATTAAGGCAACCTTTTCATTTTTGTTTAGTTTAGGTTGAAGCACTAAAATTACTAAGTGGAAATAAATTCAATAAAAAATAAATAAATAAATCTAAATAGTATTATTAAATAAAATTATATATAATAAAAAGTGCAAAAGGACATAACAAAATTTGTAAAAATGTAATTAAAATTAAGATAAAAACTGAAAGTTCTATATTAAAAAATCTCATTCAAAATATTAATAAAAAATTATAATAATGTGTTTTGTTTGTTTTTTGTGCTTATGTACTGTAGATTATAGTGCGTCACATCTCATAACACTGTTGTTGCTTGTCAGCTGCGCCAATACAGTTTACCATCTCCATGTGTTGTACTCTAGCCCTGGTGTTCCATGTGCTCTTCACAATCTGGTCAGTCATTCATCTCCTTGCATTTGAAGATAGCATGTTCATCAGGGCAGTGGGCAGTGCCTTCCCTGTAATGTCTGCTTTCCCACTGTGAGTAATCAACCTGGAAACCCCAAGATGGATGGCCCTCTGGAGGACAGATCCATTTTATGAGATTACTCTTAGCTAATTAGCCTCATTCCCAAAACCCCTGAATCGAAGGGTTATTCATTGGAGGTTTTTTCATAAAAATTGGCTTTGCACTGTCAAAAATGCCTTAAAGTCTCTGTTCTATATTGTTCAATTATTGTAATGTTTAATATAATGTGGGGAAAATGTAATCATACTCCCATCTGCTCTAATGTGATTTTCCTGATGTATTGTACTGTTCCATTACTCCATTTGATTTAGTTGTATGAGTTTTAACAGATTGCAATATGACAGATGTTTACACTGGGTGATAATAATCAACAGAGACATTATATTACATTTTTATAACTGATTAACCTGCCATAAAATGACATTGGCTTGAAAAATGGTTGCAGTGTACAAGCATGTAATGGATTTAATGAAACTATGGGCGCTAAATCAAAATTATGAGGCTTGTTTAGTAAGTGCAGCTGTCGACTGCTATACTCAGACAGCTGAGCCTATTCAGAAGTACTATTATATAGCAGTGCATATAAATGTGTATGTATCATGCACCATCTTTTACAGATGGGCATCAATGTACATGTTGGTAGATAAATTCAGTAACTGATATGCAATGTGCCCTGGTTTTGCATTTACATGATGTATATATTTAGTATTTGTGTTAAAGGGGTCCTATTATGCTTTTTCACTTTTTGAATTTTAGTCAGTGTGTAGTGTGTATGTTTGGGCATAAAAAAGATCTTCAAACTTACAAATCTCCAAGTCCACGCCAAAGGGAGATATTTCGTTTTTAAAAAATCCCTTTTCAAGAACTACAACGAACGGCTCGTTTGGACTACAGCGTTGTTTTCCAGGTTTTGTGATGTCACAAAGCGGCCCATTAAAATATCATTAAAATAATTCCCGCCTACGGAAATTCGAATGGTTGGGGAGGGGCGAGGTCGCTTGGTTGAGTGCATCAGACAAGACGACGAAGAAGAAGTGCTGCTGTAGCCTCAAGTTTTCGCAAGTTATTACACATGCACCTGAATAATTATGTATTTAAATATGTATGTTACAATTATGAAAACGTTTTTATAATAAATTGCTGACAGTACAATACTGGACAATGATGTAATCTGCAGAATTTGCACTTCAATTATGAGACTACAGTGTTTCCCATACATTGAGTGCGGGTGTTTTTATATCACTGTATTTCTGAAGGAAACCAACTGTCTTCAGAAAATTGGATGTCAATCTTGCATGTAATGTCTGATAAAGCAGTGTTTTTTTTTTAGCGGAGCGCTGCGTTGTGTACAACCGTTACCGGGGAAACCTTGATCTCTACCACTCCAACAGCGCCTCCTGCTAGCAGAGAATGAGTTTGCATTATATGCCGCCTGGGAAACACTGGACTATGGTATTTATAAATAAATTCAACTGTATAACAGTTTCACTGCAATTCATAATATAATGTTAGAATTAAATAACAATAAAAATAATACATATGCACTTATCTGTTGTAGCGAATCAGCTCATGGGGAAATATGAATAATTAATCATAACTAGTTATAATTAATTATAAATATTTAGATCCGCTGTA